AATGATGGTGGTTAGAAGACAGAGAAAGAAGAGGGAAGGAGGGCGTTTGGGGGCACAATTCAGCAATCCAGCAGGGGTGCAATATTGTTCCTCTTCATCACACGTTTTGTTCAAGCCATACTGGATGGGACTCTCATAAGCCTGGAAGTGGATCACCCAGTTACAGGAGAGGAGGCATGAGGGTGGTTTGCAGGCTGTCATATTGGGCAACACTGAGGAAGAAGAGCCACCTCCCCATCTAGCAAAGCCGTCACAGCTCTGTGTGCACAGGCCCAGGAGCCACTTTCTGTCTGGCCCTGTGCCCAGAGACCTCAACAGCAGAAGCAGCCCTCCATCACCTTTGTGGTTTTCAGTACTTTGTTTTTTAGAATCTCCAAGCTCTTGGTCAATCCCAGGCTATTTATGAAAATGGCCTGCTTTTGTCATCTAGGCTTGGCTCACTTCCCCCACCCCGCCCCCCACACTTATTTACAAGGTTTTATTGAATTCTGCATCCCTGGCTAGGTTTGTCCTTGTGACAAAGACCAGGACCAAATGTGGCTGCTGCCTGCTTGGTGGCTGCCTGCTTGGTGGTTCATTGGAGAATGTATAGGAGGGAGATCCAGGTCACACCGGAGAACCTGCTACATTCACAGCTGTCTTCCTTCTCGGTCTGCCAGCTGCTCCTGTCATTTAGAAAGTTTGGACTTGAACTCACCAGGGTGCAAAGAACAAGCAAAAGGCTAGTTGTTTTCAACTACAGCATTTACACTTGAAGCCATTTAGTCCTAAAACCACTTAGGCATGTATAGTCATGGAAATGAAAATGGGTCAGCAAGTCTGGCTTTGTCTCATAAAGGAAAGTTAGATTGAAGGACTTTGCCCTAGAGATACACTGTCACAAGTGTGCAGGGTATTTAAGCAGAGGTTCTCAGAAGTGTTGGTACTAATGCTTAAAAACTGCCATATCGATGTACTTGTTGCTACAGCACTTAAAAATAAGAATGAAATGAATGTGCTAGTATGAAATGATACCCAAGATACATGTGAAAGTGAAAAAGCATGTTTCTGGTGGCATGTGAAGTATGGTCCCAGTCTTTAAAATAAAAGCAAATTGTACACACGCATACTCTACATGCTCGCATATACGTTTAAGAAAATAATTCTGGAGTCATATTTATTAACCTGGACTTCCCCTTGGAAGATTGGTAATGGGAGGGAGAGGAGTGAGACTTTTGCTTTTCATCTTCTGCCTTTCAGCATTATTTGAATTTATTCCCCTTTAAGTACACTCGTTTCTTACATAGAAGTACAACAGTAACAACTATTTAAATGAGGAAAGTGTGGCTCTCTGAATCCTCGGTTTGATCCAGTCAGGGTCTGGTGGACACAGCCCACATGGTAAGGTCTGAAGTGGCCTTTCTGAGGAAACAGGTCTCATCCCAGGGGCTGCCTGCCCTGGCCAAAAGTGATCATAGTTTCCAAAAATTGGAATGCCAAAATATCCAAAGATGAAAATAACCCCTTTCATTGTTCCTGCTCTTCTGCTTTTCTCTTTGCTTTCCTCTTCGAAAACCTTTGCTAGTTTCAGAATTGGCATTTGGCATAAACATTTGACAATAAGGAGACCCTTTCGGTTGGTTCAGGGTCTTCACTCTGCTATCCTGAAGCCAAAACCAAAGACCTTCCCCCAGCAGCATCTCTAGATACTTTGTATGAGAACAGCCATCAATATTCTGATCTAACAAAATCTGATCTGGTAACAAAAATAAGTTTTCTTTTATCCTTAAAATTATGCTAAACTCTATTTGTTTTAAGGAGAGAGTAATGGAGCAGGGTCCGAGAATGGCGACAAAAATGAAAGGAGGCTGTTATACAAGTCTTCCTTGAAAGGGACAAGTTTTTTTGGTTGAAGAGATTTAAGATTGGTCTAGAATTTAATTTGTATACACTTAGAAAAGGAAATGCTACTTCTAAAACACTAATCCATACTTTTTATTTATATTAAACTTGGAGCATTCTGAACAGGAATGAGAGCAATTAAAGAACAGTGCCTTTTTACTAAATATTTGAAGGATACTTGTTCTCCTTGGAATTTGATTTTTCCTTCTCCAGTGATAGCCAGATTACATCATTTTATTTTCATTTCATTTCTAAAATTGAGGGAAGTGGCAATTATGAAATAGAGATGTCAATTTAGCCAAACAAGAGGACATTCTTGATGAATTCTGAGGAATGTTACTGAATGACCCTCTTTTCCCATGAAACTACTCAGTGTTATGTTCCGTCTATAGAAAACAAAAAAAAAAAAGTTGTTTTTTTTTTTTCTTAATTGGACTCTAGGAAATTACCACTTACATAGGTTAAAAAAATTGTGGTGGAAACTCTATGGAGACAACACCTGAGAAAAGAAAGTGAACACTGGTAAAAAAAAAAAAAAAAGGAAAATGATGCGATATATATAAATAAAAAAAAAGTGCGCCAATGTCAGCAATTTCATAGGGGGTCAATATACAATAGGTGAAATAATCACTTAAAAAACGGAAATACTTTATAACTGACTTTTTTTTTTTTTTCAAACTGTCTGCTTCTTTCTCTCCTGGAACTTACCCTAAATGTAGACTGAGCCCTGGTTTACAGGGTCTTAAAGATAGCAGACCCTTAATAAATGTTCAGCAACTTGCATTTGTTTGTTTTGGGAAATGTTATTAAACAGCCTTGAAGGGGGTTCTGTCTAAAGCAAGTCAACTAATTCTCATTAATTCTTTTGGTAAGGTATTATTTTTTTTCTTTCTTGTTTTCTTTTTGGCAGTCTTTCCAAAATATTTTTTATGCATATACATTTTTTTTTTATTTGATTCTGAAGAAAGAACAAGACTATGGGAGAGTGAGGGATGTGGAAACTGACACCCATACCAGTTTCCCTCCTCTGCCTCAACAATAGAATCTGAGACAGTTCTCCTTGCCTCCTGGACCACAAAATAGGGAGAAAGTATCATCCACAAACTAGGGACTTGAACCAGTTTATCTTTAAAATCTCTGTTTATTAAAGTTATTAGGGAAAGGAGACTTATCTACAATGATCTATCAGTGGAAATATTTTCTCTATTTAGCCCTGGTAACTAAACTGAATGATAACATATATAAGCCATTGACTCAATGCTTTATAGTTACACCAAATTTCAACGTTACAAGATCCCAGTGAAGAAGGTACAGTTACCAACTTCATTTTACAGGGGGCCAAAACTCAATACAATTTTCTGCCTGACCAGAAGTCTCATTGGGAGCTAGAGGTGGCTCTGGAGTATGAAGCCAGTTGGGACCCTGAGTGCATGCTTATCCACTTGTCCATAGAATTGATATTTTATATTCTGAGCTTTATTTACTTCCAGGAATTATGTTAATCTGGGATTAAATCTCATGCAATTAGGAGATTGCACAAGTTATAATCTACTTGATAAATTATTTACCTGCTGTTGACAAACTAATAATATAGTTTTCTTATCTAATTTGCCCCAAAAAACTTCTTATAGGTAATGTTTTATTTGAAACATGGGCAGTAGGTAAGCTACATATAAATTGGTGAGAAGTTTCTTTCATTTTTCTAAATAAATGAAATTATATTGTTCCTCCTAAATTATTCAGTTTAAATATTTGATTTCTTGATAACTGCTCTGTGTTTTTGTATATCATTGTATATGCCCTTAGAGAAAATATGGCCATTGATGCTGTACATACCTTATGTTTCTGTGCAATGTTACTATTTACAGAGTGACACAAAAGTTTATTTAGAGTAGCATATTAACAATCACAACCATCATTATTTTTTCTTCTCAATAACCCTGTCAGCTAAGCCAAAATCAAGTTTTTAAGACTCATTCTACCCTTAAGGAAAGAGTCTTCAAGAGGTGACTTATTCTGGGCTTCTGTTAGTCTTATCAGTTTTGGTCAAACCAGAAATATATCCCAAGTCAATTAATTTCTAACCATGGTGTGTTAAAATTTGGGGTGTGTCTTTCTATGGATTTTGCATTTTAGATGGTTAACTGAACTTAGTGAAGAAAATGTACTGGTTGCCAGAGGGAAGCAGGAGCAGAGACAATGGGGAGGGGGAGAGAAGAAGATAGGGTATTGGGACAGGGGCTTTGGTGGAGGGTGGGGGGACTCATTCAAAATGGATGTGGTCATCCTAGAAAACCCCACTTCTTTCATAAATGCTTTTGTGAAATATAAGCAAAGTTAAAATAATTAAAAATTAAAATCTTAAGGAAAATAATTTAAAACTAAAAATAAAAAAACAAATTTGTTACAATCAACATGTAAAAATACTTTTGCCTATCATGAAGAATTTGACCAAGTGGTATGTGTTATAGTGGAAATTTCCATCAATGAAAGTATGCAAGGGTCAATGGGTACAAAGGCTCATGGGGGTGATTAAGGTCTTAGCAACCACTGCTCAGTCTTTGGGGGGCTTTTAGGCAAATCAGATGACCTCTTAAGAACTATCACTGAGTGAATATGAGTCAAGGTTGATTTCAAACAGAGCTCTGGGAGGGCACAGGAATAGATCTAACTTTGCTCTCTTCCAGTTCTGACTTTTTACTAGACACTACTGTACATGCCAAGACTGATTTTCTATTCTCCCTTCTCCCCATGTGTTTCTTCTGCATAGGAAGTTCCTATTGATCAATCTGACCCATGGTATTTTAGAATCATGATCCCTACTGTTTTCATTATTCCTTTTTCTCCCCCATGTAGAAAACAATAAAAGTACTGAGAAATGAGATGAGAGGCACTGGTGAGCTAGCATTTAGTTTAAAGCAGTCCTACCCAAACTTATAGAATTCTTAAGAAGCTTGTCTTTTAAATGTATCCTCAACAATTTGTAGTTGGATCAGTAAATGGATCAGTTAAAGTAATCTAGAGTTATTAGGATGTTTTTCAGCAAAATGTCATTCCTTCATGGGATAAGTCCTGATTCTTTACAATCCTCCCTCAGTTCCAGTGTTCCTTCACATCTGAATGGGTTTAAGAGCATCACAGAGCACTCTGAAATCATCATCAGGAAGATCCTAAGAAGAAAGTAGTTAATAAAGCTTAATGTCAGTCTCACACTTGCACCTCACAACAATGACAGCTGGGTAGACACACATGCACACCCCAAATTTTATGAACATGTAATCATTTATGCACAAGGCCAGGAGTCGCCACTGTCAATTCTGCAGTTAATCTTCAGGGCGTCTTTAAGAAAGTGCATGGCCTGGGCCTTTGATCTGCCAGTCTCCCTCACTTGTAGCATCCTCACTTACATAGAAGACTGTTTTTATGTTTTAAAGTTCTGTGTCAGATTGTTCTTACAGAGAAGAAAAAGATTGTTGTGTCTCCTTGAAATAGGAAAAGCTTTTCTGTAGGCAACCATACAAAAAAAGGAATTGTCAAATGGCCATATACCTCTTGTTTCTCCTTTCGAGTTGTTCCCCATTTATTAAATAGAAGAAAAATAATCATGGAGATATTTACCTATTGTTACTTTTAAAGTCTTCTATTTATAAAATAGTACTGACATGATGCATATTTACAAGGCTTTGGTTTAACAATCAGTTTCTCTCAGGCCTTTTGTTTTTCCTTGAGAAATTCTTATAACCCTGCCTTATCTTCAACTATTCATTTCTATTGGCTCTCCAAATAAACCCAATAATGCTCTTTCTGAAAATATGCCAATGTGGTAACTACAGCTAAGCTGGAATATTAAATTGTGATGTGTTTCATAAAGAATGCAATCATATTCCCCAAAGCTTCACCTTGGTGCCTGTGCAGGTTCTATTTTAAATTATTCCAGTAAGGGCCATTTAGTATGTTGAGGATGCTTGCACTGGTCTAGCCAGTCTTCTGATGTGTTGGTGTTGTTCTTGCAGGTGTTTTTATCAAACAAACAGGAACATTTCACACTACACCCAATCATGCTTTTGGACGCTCTAACACTTTCTCATTTGTACACTCTCCCCCAAGTCTGGGTTTGTCCCACAAGTCTATGGATAAGTCCTTTGTTATGCTTAATTGTTAACTCAGCAAACAGGCAGACAGCCCTCAGACTTTCCCTTTTCTGTTAACTTTCCTTTAGGATCTTAATCCTCACTGTCTTCCACAATAGTTCGTATGGATTATTTAGCATTATTTTAGGGCCTCACTAACTGTTTCTCACATGTGGTTTATATCTCCTTACTCAATTGTAAGTTAAGTCTAGAAGGTTAGAAGATATAGGGGTTTCAGTTTCAAAAGAAAAGGTCATTTTTCACCACTCATGGCTTCCCAGTGTTAGATTCCTGGAAACAGGAGTGCAATCCCTAATGCTGTAGTCTGTATTCTTTTTATATATTTTTTAAAGATTTATTTATTTTTATACAAGAGCTGGGGTACAGGCCAGAGGCGTGGAGGGTGAGAGGATTCACCAGAGACAGAGCGGGAAACAGAACAGGCAGATGACCGAAGTACACTGCTGAGGGGAGCAGCGGGCACGACAGGCGAGGTCTGCCACACCATGTGGGAATCTCCCTGGCCAGCTGGCAATCAAACCCGCGCTGCAGAGGCTGCGGACAGCTTCACAGTGCTGTACTCAACCCATTGCGCCATCAGGGAGGCCCTGGAGCCTCTGGGTTTTTTTTAATTTTTTACATCATTGTTCATTTTTAAACAATATTTGCTTCCCCCCAACTGGAAATTCTATAGCTTCTATTTAAACTTAAATCTGGCTCATTCAAAATTGATGAGGGCATCTTAGAAAACCCAACTCTCTTGGTAAATCCTTTTGTGAAATATAAACAGAGTTTGCAATTGTGTAGATTATATTTTGTTTTCATATTTCAAAGGTAAGGATTTACATTGGCAAACTTCTGTGTGTGAAAAGGGAATCCTGACCACACATGAAATACCCTGTTCGTTCTCCTTCCAAAGTCCTCTTCCCCACCAATTTGAAGCATATTAGGCAAAGTAATCTTTTGTTCTTGAAAACAGAATAAACAGGCCCAGAAAGCATAGGATACCCAGTTTGGTGACCCTAAAAACTATTGAATATGAGGGTGTAGTGCAGCAGACTTGTGAGGAGGGTATTAGAACAATCTAATAGGAGAAAAGTTTGGTATGATTTTTAAGAACCTTTATAAAGATTGGTTGTTAGGAAGTTCCTTCTGGTACAGTTTAATTATAGCAAGAAGAAAGATTGAAAATAATGCAGTTTCGGGCCTCCCCTAGTGGCGCAGGGGTTGAGTGCTGCGTTGCGAAGCTGCCCTCAGCCTCTGCAGCGCTGGTCTGATCCCCAGCCACCAGCGAGGGTCCTACATGGCGAGACAGACTTCTCCTGCCACGCCCGCTGCTCCCCTCAGCAGTGTATTTTGTCCGTCTGCCTGCTCTGTTCCCCGCTCTGGCTCTGATGAATTCTCTCACCCTCCTGTGCTTCTGACTGTACCCAGTGCTTGTATGAATAAATAAATAAATAAATCTTTGGGGAAAAAAAAGAAAATAATGCAAGTTCAAAAATAGAAGGAATTAATGAATCCTAGTGTACCCATGCAATAAGGTGTTACAAAACCATTATAAATTAAGTAGTATCAGCATTGTCATGGACATGGCAAGGGGCTCATGAGTAATTCTAAAAATCATTTTGATGAAGAAAATATATCATCATATATTATCAATGATGATGTGTGTCTACATATTTACCCTATTTTAATAGTGCCAATCTCTAGGATTACAAATTATTTCATTTCTTTTTTATTTTGCACGTCTACCTTCTCTCATTTTTTAAAGATAGAATATTATCGTGATGATGATATTCTTTTATGAAAAGTATAATTCTTTTTAGTCCCTGCAAAAAGATATTAGCACAGTAACTGCCTTTGCATGTAATTCTCTCAAGCCAAGCCAAGGTGGCCTCCTTCCTGACTGTCCACAGTGACCATGCCCCTGCCTCCAAGACTCAAGGTACTACTTGTCTCCTCAGGGAAAGAAAGTCCTCCAGTAAGTGACACTCCAGATGATGGCGATGAACCCATGCCTGTCCCTGAAGACCTTTCCACCACGTCTGGAGGACAGCAGAACTCAAAGAGTGAGAGAGGAGTGGGTGAGTTAGATCTGCCTGGCATCCCGCTCTCAGGTTATTGCATGCTCTGTTTCTTTGATACGTTTATCTCATTCTCCTTTCATAGATAGTGCTCACATTCTCTCTGTTGTATGCATTCAATCATAGTGTTAAGGAAATATGGAGTAGATCAGCTCTTTTGTACAGAAGAAGAGAGACACTTACAGGTCATCATGGTGGGAAACCCACATACAGAGCATGACGAGCTGAGGAGCACGCTGCCATGAGGTGTCATCACTCACTCTGTCTTCTGTCCTTAGTGTGCTTGCAGGAATGCCAGAGTTTATGGATTATAGAAAGCAAAAATAATACATTTAATGTGTATCACAATAGGACTATTTATCCTTAGAAGATTTTTGGTCTAGAAGGAGCCAAGCTTGGCCAGTCTCATCTCTATATCTTAAATGAAAACTTTAACTGAAAATTGAAAATGTGATAAGTGGAAATTTTGAAATTTTAAAAACAATTCTAAGATGATCTCAGCGTATATTTACATACTTTTTCTGTAAAGGGATGCATATAGAAGTACCCATAACCTCTTCTCTGGTCAACTTACACATGCTACCCTTAACATTCAGAAGTCTTAGTCTACCCGGGTAATAGTAAGAAAACAGTGGCCCAGAGAACTCTAGTAAATTAACCAAGGCCAAATAACAAAGTCAGAAGTAGACTTGGTTTCTGACTTGCTTACTAATTTTCACTCCATTATAGCCTGTTCCCATGGCCTAATCTGTCATCAGTTCCTTGGAATATCTCCTTTATTTTTAGAGAAAGAAAAAATTGATATTGAGAGCCACTTGTTTGTACGAAAGAATATTATAAAGATAAACAGGTAGAAGTGAGGCAGAATATGCCCATGTAGATCAGCTGCAGTAAAGGGGACAACGTTTGTGAAGCTCTCAGTGTCATGAAAACTACTACACTGTCTGAGGACATGCTGAGGCACAACTAAGACACAGATGTTAAGTGAGTTTAGAAACATGGCAGATTTGGGGTATAATGGTTCTTTTTTTAATGTTACCATATAAACAGACAAGGTTAGTGGCTAAAGAAATTTGGTGTAGATAAAACTACAAAACAAGTGTATTTGTGAATTTGTTTTTCCACTTGTGGGAAAGTAGATGGACAAGAAGAAGCATTGGTGGTTCTCTGCTCTGTTCTACACATATCATTTTAGGGTTTACCAAAATTGGGACATGGAAGAGCATGGTTTGTTTTAACTGATACATTTATTTTTGAGATGGTCTTCTGTCTTCTGCCACTGATACTATTTTGTCATATGCCATATACTACTATACAGATTCCTTTCAAAACACATTTACATAAATTAAAAAATCAATTTAAGTGAAAATACTAACACTGTGATGGTGCAAATATAAAAAAATTTGAAGAAGTGGCATATGAATAGCTAATATTGGGGTGACCCTGTGATGTCTCATCTGTTCTGTCCCTGAGATGGGTGCATTCTCTGCACTTCACACATAAGCAAACAGCTGCTTATAACCGGCTGGGGACCCAGAGTGAGACATCAGAGACCAAGAACCAGAAGAAGTTGTAGGATAGATTCCACATACCATTTAAATATGAACCGAGCCCATACACGATTACAGAGAAACCAGGGCGCTCTCCCTGAAATCCCACAGCTGCCGTGCAGCCTGCAAGCCATGTTGTTGTGGCATCTTTAGAGAACTGAAAGTCAGACTGATTCCTGGAGAGTGAAGAATAACGTACAATTCACTTGACAAAGACAAATTACAAATGTCTTCACAATCTTCTAGATATATGTACCCTTAAAAACTCCACATCACGGGTGATTTTCCCTTGGTAAGAGATCACTAAGCACATGATGGTACTTCTGGCTGGTTCTCAGACTGCATGGGCCCAGTTGTAATTCCAGCTCTTGTTCCATGTACAGCTGTGCAGGTGTCACGGTGGAGTAGGGGCAGGACCAGCACTTCCTGAGATACTCCCAGAGTTCCTGCCATGTGTGACATGATTTTCATTCTACTTCTTTCATGGAAAAGTCTATAAAAGATGAATTTCAGAATTGTAAAATATCAAAAACCCAAGATATGGCTTTGCTTGGTTTGTGAATAGCAGTTCCATTACTGAAGCTGTGTGGTGAGGCAGGGAAAGCCATTTGAAGTGGGTGCTGTTTTCCAGCAAATGATCTCCTGGTGAGCTAGAGGCCAAAGAAGCAATATAGCTTTGCAAGAAAATGCAAAAGTGAAGAAGCACAGATGACACTGGAGCATGGGGGTGGGGGATGTGTGGGGTGGTAGAGAGCAGGCAATTTGAGGAAGAAAGTTAGTGAGTGAGAGGGTCCTGGAAAAAACAAACAGCAGAAAGGGACATCAAGGGATGTAGTGACTCTTCATAGCCTCTTGGTGTGGGGGACAGGTTGTTTATTAATACAATTTGTAATATGTAGCATTAAACACATTAAGATATTAATAGCAAGTGGAGAAAATATAAAAAGATAAGATAATTAGCAGATTAAAAGGAAATACATTGAAGCCACATTTCATCAGCTCCCTGGGAAGAAGTCAGAAGAGCAAAGGGGTGTCAGAGAACAGACAACAGGAAGTGAGAAGGAGCCCCTCCCTGAGCAAAAGCGGCAGGAGCTAAGAGGAAGTGCAATTGCAGGAGGGAGCACAGTAAAAGGGACAGAGAGGAATAATGGCAAAGGCAAGGCAAGCAGGGAGGAGACAAGTCTTAGCAATGGAAGGTCCCAGTACCAGCCCATTCACTACTTCGGTCCTCTGAGCAGGCCGTTAACTCTTTGAGCCTCAGTTATCTCATTTTAAAGTGTCAAATGCAACAAAACACACTTCACAGAATGTCTTTGAGGGTTGAATGAAAAAAAGTAAACGTCATTTGTTGAAGACAGAATAACAAAGACATGAAGTAGAAAGGACAGTAAAAAGCAGAAAAAGAAGGCTACCTGCGTAAAATGATTATTTTAAAGATTTGTGAGAATGATAAAAGAAACTGTTGTTGCCTTGCTTGAGAGAAAGGACAAGGACGGAGAATTGTAGGTAACATTTGTAGCATCAATGACAGAAGAGGAACTTACTTAATTTGAAAAGATGATCCATAGAATAAGCATACTGAAAACAGATCCAAAAGAGAGGAAAGAAACTCAATTAGACAAAACCAAGAGAGAGTAAGGTGCTGGCCACCAGCAGACTCTAGGTAAAGGCAGAGGTGATCACTCTCACTGTTGAAAGTTCAATGATGGGAAAAGGTGGGGGGGAAATTACTAATGGTAGACCACTGGGTGTCTGTAGAATATTCTGAAAAGCTATGAGCCATTATTACCGTGGGGTCATTCGGTTTAAGACAAATCTAATTTCAACAAGAAGAGCAGATAGTAATGAACAAATTGAAGGGAAATAGTAGAAAACCCGCTACAATGGACAGATAGTATTATTTTCCTGATGAGAAGGTGTTTTCCCGAAAGAGGAAAATAATGGTTTCACATCTCATTGCTTCACATAGTGTTGAAGGAACACTTTAGAACTGTGTAGAAATAGTCTCTTAGATGAAAAGAGAGAGAGAAAGAGAAAAAGAAAGAAAGAGAGAGAGAGAGAGAGAGAGAGAGAGAGAAGAAAAGAAAAGAAAAGAAAAGAAAAGAAAAAAAAAGAAAAGAAAAAAAAAAGAAAAGAAAAGAAAAGAAAAGAAAAGAAAAGAAAAGAAAAGAAAAGAAAAAAGAAAGAAAAGAGGAAGAAAGAGAAGGGAGAGGGAGAGGGAGAAGAAAGGATGTCAGAGAAATAAGGCTGAGTCCAGGCTATTGCCCTGATTTAGTCTCCATTTTCTCTGGGTCTGAATAAGAGGAAACAAGGATTCTAAGTGCAACCTATAAAATTTAAGTTAGATCTCCAGGAGAACTTCCAGCCATAAAGAATTTTATCATCTAAACAGTCTATTTAATGCTGCAATAAAAAGTTTGTTCTTCTGCAGTGGTCGCTCTAAGAATAGGAGAAATTTCACTTCTCTGAAGTAGCTGTCTAAAACTGCTTAAAAGAGAGGGTATACTCTCTTAAGGCAACCTCACATTTATTCACTCATTTATTCAAGTAGAAAACAGGTTGAGGTTTCTGCTGACAATTGTTGATCAGTGACTCAAAAAATGTTTCATTAATGCAATGTTACTTCATTTTTTTTAAAAAATGCTGAATTATGTCAGCGTCTAAAGAGAAAGTATATTTTTGTATAAAAATAGTTTTGTTTCTTTTCTTCCCTTATTCAATAATTCTTACATTTTTCCCTTCTTTGTAGCATGAATGTAATGCAATGTAATGTAAGATGCCCATTACATCCTTGCTCTCCCTTTGCCTGTATGCACTTCCGTGTCTTAAACTGACTAAGGACCCTGGAGTTCTAGATTGCTAAAATGTGAGCACAGGCCAAGAGGTGCATCCCCCAACCTAAGAGAGGGAATTAATTGAGGGTCAGTTGGTTCCAGAATTGAGACCATCTGCAACAGTGGAGGAGCCCCCTATCCTCCAGAGGTCCCTCCCCTGTGAAATGTAACCATTGATGTTCAGCAGGGATGAGACATGGTGCACTGAAACAGGAAAGAGGAAGAGAACAAAGACAGAGAAGAAGGATTATAAGCAAGAAAACAAGATGGCCACCCCAAGAGAGATAACTTGAAAACTTCTGACTTGAGTAGGATCAAAGGGAAAACCAGGGCCAAAGCACAGTAATGACTAATACTGAATTGGGAAGGTTATTTATACTAGCAGGTTGAATCGGGGAAAGCCAGAGACTTTTGATTGATAAGAGGTTAAACGAGGCTTAGCAAACGGCTTGGCTGTGTGAATGGGTAAATGGGAACAACTTATGCAGTAGTCACTCTTATGCAGAGGGCAATGTTAGAGTTGGGGTGAGTTGTAATGTATGGGGTGATAATGTATATTTATCCTGACCTCATTGCAACTTAGAATGTGTTTATATGTCCCTGCTCACTAGCATTA